GATGTTTCAAGCCCAATGTTTAAACACTAATTCACGGCACAGACAACTCCCAGATAGGAAGACAAAAGTATTTCACTTCTGCTAGGCAAAAAGTTATCCTTCATCCCGGACTATCAAGGGAACTATCCCCAAGAGCTCAGCTCTGTGATGAGACAATTTAATCTGAAGTCTCATAAATAAGAAATATGGCAAGGAATTAGGGTAGCAAATTTTTGAATGTAAATGTTTGGCTTCAACCACTAAGAATAACACAGATTCATACTCAATTAGAACAAAACCTCGGGATTTATCAGAGTGTCTCATTTTGCTAAATTAATCTGATTACTATACAGAATCCAAATAGGCTGGGATGTCAAAGGGCCATATTTAAAATCGGTTGCAGCCTAGTTGGATTGATTGTTTTTGTCTGATCATGAGACCATTGCTATTCTTGGGACACGAAGCTCTGTTGAAAAATGAGAGATAATAACATGGTGGAGTCTTGATTTTTGGAAGGTGAGCATACATTTTCTCAACTTTAATAAGAGCAATTTGTTTTAAAGAAAGAAAAATGTCTCTTGCTGGCTGAAGACCAATAAAACCTTCATCGGGTGAGGCAAGTGATGGATCTAGTTCCTTATTAAGAGTTGCAGTAAAATATGTACATAATGGGATGTCTTTTATTAAAATAGCTATAAATACTCATTGATTTGAGAAAGGTCTTTCAAGTATATATCCTTGATACTGATTTCATAGCATTTGCTATAAGGACTTAGATAATTCAGGAAAATGTTGGCGTTATTGGTGGTTTATAATATAACCTGTGTGTGTGTGTCAGGAGCGGTGCCAGGGTTTTTGCCGCCCTAGGTGGTAGCGCTCCTCCTCTGAGCATTCGGCGGCAGGGGTCCTTCCGCTCCGCGTCTTCAGGGCACTTCGGTGGCGGGTCCTGGAGCGAGTGAAGGACCCGCCGCCGAATTTCCGCCGAAGACCCGGAGCGGAAGGACCCCTCCCCGCCTCCGAATTTCCGCCGAGGACGGCAAAATGCCACCCCCCCCAAATCCTGCTGCCCTAGGCAACCGGCCCTGGTGTGCGTGGATAAATACATATACAGATCCCCATTAATACAATTAGGTATCCAATCCGCAAGAGACGCCTCATGAACCCTTTGAAGCCTTAGGCCCCAATCTTGTGGCTGTGCTTACCTTTAAGCACATTGTTATTATTATTATTTGTATTACTGCAGCACCTAGGAGCCCTAGCCCTGGATCAAGACCTCCTTGTGTTACATGCGCTACATTCAATGGAAACACTACGTTAAGCACATGTGCAGGACTGGGGGTTTAGCCAGTAACCCATTCAGGACAAAGATTGTGTCCTAGCCTTCAACTAGAACCCAGGAATCCAATCCACTGGAGCAATCACTAGACAACTTCATCTCTTAGGTTCTTATTGTGCTCTTGTACTAGCTTCCCTAATGGGTTTCCATAGGTTTCTATTGACATAAATTTTCCCCATGTCAAGTCACCTTGTAGATGCACTCTAAAGGTGTCTCCCCAGGCTTAATCGAGAGCATTTTCCCAGTGCAATCTCATATCGTTACACCGCTGTCCTTTGCTGCCATGAACTTTAAATTAAAAACACTGTGGCGCTGCACTCTCGCCTCCTACTGGCTTCATAATAGTCTCATTGTAAGAGAGTCTCCATAGGCACCTCCTGGAATCACGCTGAGATGAGATCCGTCTGAGAGTCACCCTGTGTCTGGGCCATGCCAGAACACTGATGCGTCAGTAAGGCCCGACCAGGTGCACAGAGAAGCACAGGTGGAATGTTTTGCCCTAAGAACCTGATAGGCTGATCAGCAGTGAAGATGTTGAGCTGTTTCCTTGTTGATTTTGCTTTGCCCTTTGGCTAAGCTCAAAAGCTTAATAGTTTCTGCCTTTTAGCAGAGGACTCTAGCCTTCCCTGGAAAGGAGATGGGCTTGATGGTATGCATTTGATTCCTTTCTAGCTACCAACAGCCCTGTCATGCACGTCATATAATTAACCCTTTCATAACTGTGGCACTTTCCATCCAAAGGGCTCACAGTGCTTTACGAATATGAATTGACTAAACCCTGCAGCATCCTTGAGAAAAGTAGAATTATCCTAATTTTACAAGTAGGGAACCTGAGACCCAGAGCAGCTCCAGCTCACCCTAGGACCTAACAGCAAGTCAGGAGCAGAACTGGGTCTAGATATCTCAGGCCCCAATACCTATCCCTGCACCTAAAACATTACTCAGTGCTTCCTTCCGGGTTTTTTTTTCAATCCATTACTTTTTTTTGCCAGGAAATAATATTAAAAGCTACAGCCCCTCTGAATGCAGATGTATCATTTCTGCTCCATTGCCAGGCAATACTAGAAACAAAAGTTAACTAACCAGTCATATTCCCTGAACGAGGCTAATGCTGTTGAAAATAATAAAGGAAGTAAACCCAGCACAGCCATGTTGTTTTATGACCCATAAAACCACACTGAGCTAAACTTAGATCAGGTGTAAACAGCTGTTGCACCACTGATTTCAGCAGAGTAGGATTGTTATCCCAGATCTGTATTTGGCCCGTTTTTTGCAAGGCCCTGATCCCATAGAGATTTATGCACATGTTTGGCTTTGGGCATGTGAATAGTCCCATTGATTTCAAAGTAACTTTTCCTGTGTGTAATGTGGAGCATTTGCATAAGGTGGCGCATCTGCATAAATCTTTACAAGATCAGGCCCTGAGTTTTTATCACAGCCAGTAATAATGTTCCCTGGGATTAGGCCTGCTGAAATCAATTCTACCTGCATAGTAAAGTATCCACTCATTGTCAGTGAGGCAATGAGAATCTGGCTCGAAGTATTAAAAAGTATGTGACAGGAAGGCAGTGTGGCGTAGTGGTTCCGTCACTGGATCAGAATTCAGGAGATCTGGGTTGTAGTCCCAGCTCAGCCACTGGCCTGCTGGATGACCTTGGGTAAGTCACTTTGCCTTTCTGTGCCTCGATTTCCCTATCTAGAAAATGGGATATTTTGCTCCTTTGTAAAGTGCTTTGAGATCTGTGGATGATCAGAGCTAGATATTATTATTAATAATAATCTGCCACTGAGTTCAAATGCTAAGATCAATTAAAAGATCAGAGGACTAGATTCCAATGTTATTTCAGAGTGACTCAAAGGGCTGAGCAATCATTATTACTGGACATCGAGGGAATACTCCTGAATACTCAAACTACTCAGCTCTTGATGGATTTTGTGTATTGAGCACTCAAATGACTTTCAGATCAGGGTAACACTTCTGTTAGATACGAAGGATTTGACCCCTGATGGATTTTGGAGTAAAGGGAACACTTTATGCAAAAACGTTGTAGAGCATTTGTTTTTTAACGGTGTGCTAAGGAAAGGAACTTTCCGTTCAAGTCTACATGGAATTACTGCGCTTAGCATAGCCACTTTTCCTAGTCACCAGCCATATCTGCAATATCTTTTTCTTTATTAATGAAATGAAGGGCAGTAGCTATATAGGGGCGTGCATGGTACCCTATGTTCTCCTAAGTACATGGAGAACTAATGAGGTAAATCAAAAGCAGCTCTCTTTTTAACAGGGACATTTCGTACAGCTGGCCCTTAATGAAGATGTGAGGTAGTGATCCCCATTGCAGATCAGTAATGCAAACCTCCCTATTGCTCAGGTGTATCATAGGCATAATAAAAAAGGCCCAGATAAGCAACAGCACTTCAGGGCTGATGGTGATGCCAAGGATCCATATATGAAAGATAATGGGCAGGTCAAGACAATGGACATTTTCCTCCCCGCTGTATCCCTTTTGCACGCTCCTAAATCAACAGAATTTTAAGCTGCACCCAGGACATGCAGCAGCAGGGACGCCCCCAAAATAGGAGGAGCCCTACACTACAGCTGGCATTCCATGTCATCGGAGTAATGAAGATAGTTCCAAAGACAAGACATAGAGTTTTTAACAGAGATTCACATCACAACGAAGAGAAAAAAATAGGCAAAATGTGATTTCTCCTTTTTATGTGTTGCTCTGAATGCTCAAATGAGCCCATTTTACTTAAACAAACAAAACCACAAATCAAAATACCAGCTCCCCCCAAAACCAATTTTTTGTGTTTGCTAAAAATGACTCCTTTTTCATTATAACCATGGGATCACTTTGAACAAAAAGGTGGCTCTGGAATTCAAAGTTCAACCTAAGAAATTTCTATTTTTGCAGATTTTGAATTTTTGCAGATTTTCTGTTCATTTTTTAAAAAAAAATATATAAAAGTGACATCTATGGATTAGCACAAAATCACCCCAAATAGCATCAAACATTCTGTAAAATTTCATAAAAAACTGTTCACTGCTTTCACACAGATCTATGAATTTTTAACCAAAGCCTCCACAGCTCTTTTGCCTGGGAAAACTGTCTGTGGAATGTAGAGAACTCAAATATAATTCAAATATAAATACCTATAGATGTTAGTTGAGAACATGTCTTTTACACTGGAGAAACTGTATAGGAAAAGTCTATTCATGAGTAACGGTTATTAACCCAGTATAGACTGAAGGGAAAATTCCCAGTGACCTTGATAACCTGATGCTTTTCAGGTATAGTCAAAGTTTTACACGTGTGTATTCATTCATGTTTAGACCAAGCCCCTTATCCCGTGTCCTGTCTAAATATGCAGGTGGTTTAAAGAAATAAGGTCCCAGTCTTACAAAGACTCATGCACATACTTAATTTGATGTGAGCAGTCTGGTTGACTTTAATGGGACTAGTCACATGCTTTAAGTTAAGCACGTGCTTAACTCTTTGCAGCATCAGCGTCTTATTGATTATACTTCAGTGAGACAGAAGAGCAAAGTACAATTCACCAGCATCTATCCTAGTGAGTATCAAATCTTCTGATGCCCCATGCCCTAAGAAAACATGCTTTAGTTAAACTTTTATATTATATTTTATAATTCTATAATTTTTATAAAAGCTGCATTACTTACCTTTGATAGCAAAAACTCCATGACAGAAATCCTTGAAGTTGATTCTTCCCAGGTCATTTGGGTCCAAGTATTTAGCCAATTTTTCCACCTAGAAAAGAATATACAAAGTTTACTATGTGTTGCTTCTATCTTGGTGAAGCTCTTATGGAGAAAACACCGGTTTCAAAAATATCTGCAGTATACATCTGAAATCAACACAAGGTAAAAATACTTATCTACGTAGATATAAAACCAAAACTTTGTAACTTTCCATGGCATAAAAAATAGGAGAGACTGTATATGAGAGACCCAAGAACATTAAAAGTGAAAGAAGCTTAATATGACATGAGATTAATTTGTTTAGTGCAGTATTATTTTCTATAATCTCAGTTTCGTGGTTTAGCATTTCTGATGTAAATTATCACCCACCAAAGGGGATCACACGGGGCATATTGCAGTAAATTTGCATTTATATTGAGGGAGATATTTCACATTGAGGAAAAGTTGAAGGATTTTTCAGGAGAGATTTGCAGAAGAAGAGGGAGGGAATTTGGTGAATCTACACGGTGGATCGAGAGAAGGCACAAAACCAAGAGTGGGAAAAGAAAGCAAAGAAGCAGTTAAGTGCGGGGGAGGGGAAGAGAGCAAAGCAGGGGTGTTGGAACAATTTGTATAGTGGGGGTGCTGAGAGCCATTGAACCAAACTGTAAACTCTGTATATGATGGAAACCACTTCAAGCCAGGGGGCGTGGCATGCCCTTAGTTCCAGCACCTATGGACCAAAGGCAGAGACAGTGTTGTCCAGTGGATAGGGCATTGGAGTGGGAGTCAGAGGACTCTTCTATTCTATTCTTGGCTCTGCCACTGACCTGGTTTGTGACTGTAGGCAAAAGTTACTTCACCTCTCTGTGCCTGTTTACCCTTTGCCTGTCTTGTCTATTTAGATTGTAAACTCTTTGGGGCAAGGGCTGTCTCTCACTATGTGCAGGCACATAGTGCCTAATACAATGTGGGTCTGGGTTTGGTCTGATCCTCTAGGTGCTACTACAATATAAACATGACCAATTATTACATCAATATATACTATATATTATATTAAGATTTATGATCAGATTGTAAGGAGCAATGAGAGCAGGAATGCAGGATATTACAATATTCGGAAGGACGGAATGCAAGCTTAAACATGCTAGTCTGAGCAGCAATCAAAGCCCAGCTGAAAATATACACAGCAAATGAATGAATCCTGGTGACCCAGTTTCTCAATTTTCTGGTTTCTCATGTGCTAGTGAAACCCTACTGAATGCTTAAAGCCCTCTGGAGAGTGCACTAATGTCTGACCATGAAACCTCCTCACTTCTATTCTATCCATCCAGTACACCCAGGCCATTTGGTTTAGATGGATTATGATCAATGGGAATATTCTCCATCCTAATGAAAGCCTGGCAGTGCTGTAAAACCAACAGGGTCTCAGCATTTCAGTCCCCTGCTGGGGCTGTCCAGTTTGCCAGGGTATCCTATACACAAAATATGGGTTTTGAAATCATAATGCTGGGGTGCTTATATCACATGTTGCCAGTTTCCAAGGACCACTGGAACAGCAGAATCAAACATATGGAAGAAGTAGCCCGTGGAAGTGTGCGTACGGGGCAATGTTCTCATGAACCACACATCCAACTGGGACCCAGAAGGAGCAGCCAGAGCCGAAACACCAGCTGACAGCTCGAGATGGTTTCGCCACTCAGCATCCTTGTAATAAATGTGATGGCTTCCTCCAATAAGGTCTTATTTAGAACAATGAAATCTAATTAAGGTGCTTAGATAAGCAATAGGTAAAACTTTGATGAATCGCCCCTTTCCGCTCCCGAGAACTCAGGCTTATGCCCTGGCATTCAGTATGCACTTCCAATCAGCCTGAAGACTCAGCAATGGTGCATACCTACGCCCTGGTTCCGTGAAGTGCAAAAGCACTTGTTTAATTTTAAGCAGGTGCCTAAGAACTTTGCTGACTCAGAGCCTTAGATACTACCCTGAATCGTGCTAAATTTCTTGGGTTGACAGATTAAGTTGGATGTTAGTCAGACAGTTAGGTGAACAGGTTTTGTACTGTTTTAAACACACTTGAGTAAAAATGTAGTAATGATAGATGTGTTAGACCTGTTCTGTGTACTGTATCTATACAAGCCATACATTCCCAGTTAATTGCATTTAAAGAAACCCTGCAATTATATCAAATGTATAAACACCTTTACATGCATTATTTAACATCTTTAAACCCACCCCCCTCAAAACTCTATATCTGCTGCGTGTTTGCTATAACAATACTTAGCACACATACAATCCCCAGTCGCCAAGTGCTTTACAAAGCATTATCCTCATTCTGTAGATGGTGAACATGAGGCACAGAGAGGTTAAGTGACTTGCCCACAGTTTCACCGCAAATCTTTGCAGAACGGGGAACAAAAACCAGAACTTCCTGCTGGCTTATGGAGAAAAGGTACATAAGATACTGTGGTGATGCATGCCATAGAATTGCTTATTACTGTATAAAATAATGACTTAATTGGGGTAAGAGTATTTTCCTATGGGTTGGATACATTATTTTGATAAGGTCAAATGGATCAACCATGAATGAATCTGGGAAAACAGCAATGTGGATTTAAGAATCTATTCATGGTGCAAAATGCTTGGTGTTGACTAGGGGAGAACGGAACAATTTGATCCATAGGTTAAATCCTTCCCTTCCCCCTCCCTCTTTTTAAAAAATCACCTGCAGCTCCCCCATGCAGATATGGCAGGTAAAGAGCTGTAGGATGAATTCTGCAGCATGCGGTGAGTTTAGGGAGAAATCTTACAGAAGTTCTCTTTATTGTGAAACCCTTTGCAGAGCTGATAACGATGTGCTGTCAGTCTGATGGCAAAACGCAGCATTTGGCCAGAACCATGGACAGCACACATCAAGGGAGATGCTGTTAGAGGAATTCATCCTTACACAAACCTCTTTGATATTACATCACAGAAGGCAGAGTAGTCTTGTGATTACAGCTGCTCTCTGGGATTCAGGACTCCTGGATGCTGGTCCCAGTGGATGATCTCTGTGTAACCTCACTAACCTTTTCATGCCGCAGTTTGCCCCCCTGTAAAATGGGGATACATAACAATAATCTCCTACCTCAATGGGATGGTGCAGGGATTAACTAACTGAGGTGTATGAACTGCTCTGAGATTACCAGACAAAAAGTACTATAGAAAAACAAAGATTGCATGGGCTAACGGACAGGCTGCCCAACTGGCACTCAGAAGTCCAGTTCAGACTTGCCGTGTGAACTCATTTACTCTCCCTGTGCGTTGGTCACCCTGTCAAATGGAAATCGTAATGATACGTGCACACTTTGAGATCAAGGGATAGAAAACACAATCCAAGAGCTAAGTAATAGTAGCATTCAGAAAGCAACTAATTAAAGAAAGAGCAATAAGGTTAAAACGAAGTCAAAATGAATGTTACTTACAAACAAGGCCCAATAGGAAACTCCAAGGAACCCAAATAAATGCATGGAGGTAAACTTTTCCAGTGACCTAATTTCTCTGTATTCTGCTTGCGTATGCTAGTGAATTATGGGGACAGAGCCACCAATGCAGTAACTCTCCAGTGTGTGTGGGATGGCAGTAAATTGAGGTGGAAAACAGCATTCCTTCCCAATCTCTGCTTGAGTGGTTTTTCTCAAACCCCCTGATGTGTGACTTTGATCTCTCTTCAGATACAGATTTCAGGTATCATCCATTCCCACCTGTGAGCTCTCTCCTCATGTTTTATTCTGGACCGTTGAAAGATATGACTTGCGTTGTACATTCTAAGAGCTGTGGGACCTCTTCCCCCCAGAACTGCTGGTTAATACATAGCTGGCTGCTCAGATTATATATCCATCCAAGTCAAAGAACAAATCCTGTGTGGCTGGCCCAGGATGTACAGTGGCTCTAGCTGGGGATGGGGGTTTACGTGTAGTTGTTCATGGAAATCACATACCATACGTGCCTGAAATACAGCTCTTGGTGCATGAGACACATAAATAAGAGCTCAAGTAGAATCCGTGCACAACATAATAACAAGAGGCAATATTTTGTTCAACCTCCTATGGCTACATACTGTTGAGCTGGAGACACATCCGTCCCTCTGTAATTGGCATCACGCACACATCTCTGATCTAACAAGCTTGTCACAGATCAGCTTGTCGAAGGAAGCCATATGCATTATGCTGACATAAATCAGATCAGATTTACTGCCGAATGGCATGAAGCTGCCTGATACGACGGAATGTTACGTCCCCAAACCGACATAATTTACAGCTTTGCCATGACTCCTTCACAGCCAGTGTGAAAGAAAGGGGGGGGGGGGCACCATGAGGAATGCAAGCAACAGAATGCCTTTACATTACCAGGTACTTTGGTAGCATAGATCCAGCAAGATATAAACCCATCATGCACCCACAGGCAAAGGAAATAGAATGCTACACACTGCAGGCCTGACCAGCAGGATAGTTAATGTATAATTGTGTATATAGCACTGTGGCAAGAGGTAGATGTAGATAAAGAGTAAAGCACTGCACTGACTTAGGAGCATACGTCTCATTTGCAAAAGAGGCTTGGGGACTTCGGTACTTTTAAAATTTTTATCCTTTATCTTAATCTCTGATGGCAAGAAGGGTCTTTTGCTTGAGGCAAAGGATGGGAGTCAGCAGACCTGGGCTCTGTTATGCCACAGATGTCCTGCATGACCATGGGCAAGTTATCTAGTCTCTTTAGTGAATGGCCTAGGTTCCAACCAATTAAATAGCAGGAAAGCTGCAAACCCCTTCTTCTCCTTTCTTCACCCAGCATGGGATCTGGAGCATGGTGGCTTCCGGCTACTTGAGAAATTCTGCTCCAGTCCAAAGCATTTTAAAACATGGCTGTGTTTTAGAGGTTGGGCAGGCAGAAGTTTGAATGTGTGGGGTGTCACTCAAAGTACAAAGTACATGTGAATGTACAATCCCCTGTGAAGATGACTTCAAAGGGCTGCCCTTGCTGATGGCCTGTGCCAAATTAGCACATTCTGTTTCAGCACCATTCCATTTT